CCCAAAGGAAGAGCTAGAGACCTTGTTTTTATATAGAACGCTTCCCATTTCTAATATTGGCAACTAATTTAAAAATCAAAACAAAGTGTGGGCCAAATCACAGCTCAGTTTTCTAGCTACATAGTCCTGGAAGCCAGATCCAGTCCTGCCTGGGACCCGGGCCCTCCAGCTGAGAACTGTGTTCCAGAGAAGGGTCTGACGGTGGACTCCAGGAAAGCGCCTTCCCAGGCAGGTAGAACAGACACTGCACCCGAGAGCCCGTGGCTCACCATGGTCAAGCTACATACAAAGCATACGCCCTAGGCCACCAGCCTCTGAATGGGACTCATGGCCCTAGGATACTCCCGTCCATCCCCTCCTAGCATCGTGGGTTTAAGTGCAGTGTTCCAGGCCTTCCTCAAAAGCCAGGCTGCAACCCAGCCGAGCTCAGAGAACTTAAGTATCCTCTGAACTCGGGCCTTCGTATCACCGATCCACATGCCGGTGAGGCCTGTAATGGTGCCATCTGGAGCTCGGCCATGATGACACTGGCGAGGAGCAGCTGCCTGTGACGAAGTCTGTGATGACAAAGGAAAGGTGGAAATGTCACAGGACAGGACAGGTGACCTCAGAGGACAGTGTGATTCCATTGTGCACGTACCTGGAAGGTGACATCTACCTTTCAGTCTGGGTCCTCTGTGTGCTAACCAAAGAACTCCCCTCGGGCCTGGAAATCCCTACAGGGCTTTTAGGACAACAAGGCCATCCAGCCCCATAGGGAAAGAGGCCGCCTGAGCCAGGGAGGGGCCGTTTTTTGCGCCGGAAACATGATGATACAAACCCCCATCAGGGCAGTCAGGGCACGTGCTCATGGCCACTGTCACCGCGCTCTCGTGAGGCAGGTGGCATGGAAACTGCCCACGGGATCACCATGGGCCTGCTCAGTGCCCACAGGGCAAAGGGTCCACCCTCTGTCATCAGTATGTCGCTCTGTTCTCTTGGCTCTGCCTGTTATGTGGTCAGGATGGACTGAATGAGACAGCCAGGGTACCCCAGGGAAACTGCTGTGGACTGAAAAATAATATCTACTAGGTGTTTCGTCACCAGAAAGGATTTATTCGGGGGGGGGGGAGGAAGGGTTACAACTCAGAGCAGACAGACGTGGCAGCCACGTGCACGCGCTGGCCTCGTGCCCAGATGGCGGGGTGTTTATAGAAGGAAGGGGAAGTCAGGAGCACAGATCTTGGCTATAAACAGTTCTGTAGGGTTTCATGATTGCGGAGACTGGGGGACGTCCGTAAGCCCTCGCTCCTGGACAGGGCGAGTGACTTCTGCCTCCTGCTCTTGTTGACCGTCACCACCTGAGAGTGTTTAAAGAGGCACAGAGCATTCTCCCTACTTTCTGAGAAACAGATGGTCCAACAGGCCTTTGTTAGCTCTTTTCCTGCAGCTGTTCTGATGAAGCAACTGCTGCCACTTAGAGGGAAACTCGTGTTGAAATACCTTTAAAAACAAAGCAAATACTTCAAGAAGTCAACTGGCTCTAGTGGTGTTTGTTCTGAGGCAGCAGCATGGCCACAACCTCCCGCTGCCTCTAGGAATGACGGCGCATGTCAGATGCAGACAGTGCACGGGGTGGGCCAGCGGAGCGCAGAGGCGGCTGGAGAAAGCGCAGTGACCCCCAGGACGAGGCTCAGAGAGGCGCCGGGGGTGAGGGGCCGTCAGCCAGGCAGGAGCAGGGGGAAGGGGGCAGACGAGGACCTCGAGAGATTACGGCCAGGTTTTTCTAAATTTGATGAAAACCACTCATTTCCAAGAAGTTCACCCGGTGCAGCAGGATCAACACATGCCTGCAACCCTGGGAACCTCATGACCGAATTTCTGAAAATCGGTGAGGAAGATAAAATCTTAAAAGCGGCCAAAGAAAAATAAAAGACACATTATGTAGCGATGAACAGACAAAAACCACGGCAGGCAGGCTTCCCTCCGGACAGGACACGGTGTGGGCCAGCGACAGAGGCTGCCACCCTGAGTGGGAGCAGAGAGGAAGCTGCCCCGTAGTCCTACCTGTAGCAAAGATACTTTCCAAAAATCACGGCAAATAAAAGCTCTACAGACAGACACGGCTGGCTGGCGTGGTCCCCAGCAGGCCTGCACCACGAGAGGCTGAAGGAGACCAGCACCGGCTGAGCCACTCGGGGCCGGCGGCAGGTTTGCGGGCAAAGGACGGGACGGCACCCTTGCATTTCCCTTTAAAAGACCCTGGACTGTCCAAAGCGCCGATAGCAGCGGTTTGTGTCTTTTACGTATTTCCCGCTTGTTTACTTTGTTTCTTTCTCTGCATTCCTGCTGCTCCCAGGGAAGGCCCCGCGGCCCCCACACTGAGCCCCGGCTGCACGGGGCGGCATCTGCCTCCATTGCGTTAGTTTGCTTTTCTCTGCTCCCTCGGGGTGGCCTCCACCTGCACCAGCTTTGGGTGGAAGCTCCAGGTGTGTGCCCAGAGAGCTCCACCTGCAATCCTCCTGACAGCAAAGACCCCAGAGAGGCCGCCTCGCCTCCTTGAGAGCCTGGGCTCCCCGGGGCCTGGCTGCATGGTCACAGCCACCCTGCTCCTCGCCGACTGAAACCGGGGGGCAGCGGAGATGGCTCAGATGGCTCGGAGAGCCACCAGCTGTGCCATGGGCCTGTGAGGGGCCTGGTGCTCTGGGTCTGCATAGTCTCTGCATGTGCTGCAGCCTACAAGGTCCAGAGAGTGACTTCAGGGGCTGGGCCTGGCATGGGGAACCTCTGGCCAGGGTTACAGTGCCCTGAGCAGGGTGGGCAGCTCTGTGCACAGGGCTGGTGGGCAGCCCCCTGAGCAGCCACCTTTCTGTGCAAAAGGAGAGTTGCCTCATTGACAGCTGTCCTGCCAAGAGGAGCAGAGAGCAGCCAGTGGCCACGTGTGGCCTGTGCACCAGGCCAGGCTGAGGACAGGCAGCCACACCCTGCAAGGACCCGGACATGCTGGGGGCTGAGTCCTGAGCCAGCCCGGCTGACCCTGCAGTGCAGCCCCCACAGGCCCCTTTTGCAAATGTATCTTTCATGAATTTTCTCTCATTTACCCAGTTTTTAGGCTTAGATCTCTCTGAATCCCTAATCAGAAAGGGGTTTCAGGGTGAGGGGGCCAAGACCTGGGGTGCAGTGCTCCTGGGGAAGCAGGAGGTCTCAGCAGAAATGAGGGCCATCAGCTCTTGCAGGTTGTTGCCCCCAAAAGGGAGCACAGGAGATAGGACTGGCTGAGGCCTCATGCCTTGAGCCCCAGGCACAGCTGGGACCCAAGTCTGGCCCCAGCCCCAGGGAAGGCTCTGGGGAGCCAGGGCAGGCACGGCTCAGTGTCCCAGCCACAGGACCCTGGCCACCTCTACCTCCACACAGGTCCACAAGATCTGTCCAGGCTCGCAGGGCAGGCCACATGTTGGGCGCTGTCAGCCCCGGGTATTCCCTGGGAGGGGCCTAGTGGCTCTAGTCCTGCCCGGGGGTGCTCAGAACTGGGGACTCTAGCAACTCAGGAGGAAGGAGGGAGCCCTGCGCTGGATCCTCCCCAGGGCCAGAGGGGAAACTGGGCAGGGCTGGTGGAGCAGGTCAGGTGAGGAGAAGGCAGGTTGCATGGCAGCCTGAGCAGGGGCACAACTCTGGTTACACAGGTGGAAGACCTGGAGTGGTCACACTAGTGTGGGGGGGTTCCAGCAGGCCTGACAGAGCCTCACCCCTGAGTCAGGACTCCCCTGCCCTGGAGGAGCCCACCACCTCCTCAGGAGAGAGCAGAAACCTGAGACTGGTCCCCTGCCCACCCCCATCCCCACAGGGAGCTCAAGCCCAAGCAGAGGGGCCTGGGCTTGGGCTGACCCTTCTCCCTCAGCCTCACTTTCTTCATCAACGCCCAGGCAGCGGCCCCCAGGATGAACTGAGGTCAGGCACTTGGACCCTTGGGATCCCTGGGAGGGCCAGTCCCTCGAGTTGTGTTGTGGGGAGGGTTCCAGAAGGAAACCAAGCGAGCAGAGGTTGGTGCCCAGGGAGCAGGAAGGAGCTGACCGAGGTCAGGGCCTGCAGGCGTCTGTGTGGAGGAGTTGGTCTGGGGCTGGAGAACCATCCAGGGCTTGCGACCTCCGCATCTAGGACCAGGCACTCGGAGGCCTGGCCGCAGGAGGAGGGCTGGGTCCGAGGGCACAGGAAGGAGGCGGTGGGTGCGCGAGCCCAGGGAGGCTGCAGGGAAGGCACCAAGTGAAAGGGGCACAAGGGGGCCAGGGACCTGGGCGCACCTGGCAGACCACAGCTCACAGTGAGCCTCCCCTGCAGGGGCCTTCCAAGCCCTGGCCCCAGGCCCCAGGCCCCAGGCCCCAGACCAGCCCTGCCCTTTCTCTTCCTGGCTGCCCGGCTGCCCTTCCTTATCCTCAGGTCTCACCTGTGCCACCCACAGCTGTTGCGGGCAGTCCCTCACTCCCTCACAGCGGCCACACCTTGCAGACAGTGGGCATCACCCAGTGCCTCAGCCCCCACCCAGCCTGCTGGCCCCTTGCGGGAGAGCCAGTCCTGAGCTTGCGTCTTACAACTGCTTCTTAATAACACCCTCATTTTACAAAAGAAATTCATTCTTAGTTCTAAAAACTTGGAAAATGGAGGGGGGTTCGAAGGATAAAGTTTGGGGCTGCCTGGCAGTTGGAGGTGCTGGCGAGCAAGGCCAGTGGGCAGGGGGTGACGAGAGCCAGGGAAGCAAGTCAACCATTAACCTTGGCTGGCTCCCCCCCGTGGGACCCGTTAGGAAGTGGCTGTGACAGGAGATGGAGTATTCAGGGCCCAGTGTCCTGAGTGCCCAGTGGAGGGGTAGCCCCGGCCTGGGGAGCTTTGGGAGAGCACGTGCCCAAAGCTCCTGCGCCCAGGCACCAGGGTGGGACCATGCTGCCCGAGTGGTCACTGTGGGAGGAAGAGCCCGCGACTTCCTGGCCCGTAATCTAACAGGCCTTTCTTGTTTCTCCACCTGGCAGAGCTCACAGCACCTCCAGCAGCTGACAGCCAACGACACCCTGATGGGAGCCCCGTGGAGATGCCGGCCCCCTTTAACATCAGAGGGATGAAGATAGAAGCCCAGGCCAAGGCCAAGCCCGCCAGACCCTCCAGGGCTCACCCTGCAAAACCTAAAGGCTGCCAGCAGCCCCCTAAGATCCGGAACTACAACCTTAAGGACTGACTTCCTTGGCTGCTCCACCCCACCCCTCCCTCCCTGTTGGCTTTGGGGGCCTGTGCTTTCATCTCCACAGTAGGGGGGTGTGTGCTCACCTTGGGGGGCTGTGAGCTGCAGTGCAGGCTCCCCAGTGCTGCTGGGGTGCCTCACAGACTGAGTGCAGAGCCCATTAAAGCTGTGCTGACCTGGGAGTTGTTTACCTGTCCTACTTGGGAAAAGGCATCTGCCTGTGTCACCGCCCACAGCCACCCACCTGCGTGCTGCTGGGGCACAGAGAGCAGTCAGAATGCCCACCGCAAGGCAAGCGTCCCCCAGAAAGCACCGTGGAGTGGGGTGATCCCAGTGCCCAGATGGGGTGGGCCCCTGCTGTGTCCTGTGTGCTAGGGTGCTCATGCTAGGGTGCTGGTTGAGGGGGGGTGGCCCCAGACCTGGGACCTGCCAAAAGTGAGAAACAGGTAAACTGACACCACTCACTCCGACCCACCACTACAAAACGACACCCACACTCCCCCACCAAAAAACATGTCCGAGGAATCCTAACTGCAGTCCTGACGCTGGGGAGTCTGTGCTAAGTCAGCAGCCAACCACAGTCACCTGTCCTGGGAGGCAGCGCTGGGGAGGTGGCCCTGGGCTCCTCTGCTCGCCTAAAGCCCTCAGCCCTTTTCTCCCCTGACGTCTGCACCTAATTGGCACAGCCAGAGGGCTCCTGCCTGCAGCACTGCTGAGGGACAGAGAGGGCCTGTCCCCACCCCAGGTGGAGGGCGGCTGTGCCTTCAGGCAGCCTGGGTGGGCCGTGAGGCTTTCCCTCGGGGTGGCCGGCTCTCACGGGGCAGACAGCGCCTCCAGGAGGGTGGGAGGGTGCCGGGAAGGCTGCACCCACCCCCGCTGTGGCTTCAGTGTCCTCTCCCTGCCTGGCTCCAGGTGTGGGGGCGGCGGCGGCACCGGCCCTGGGAATTGCCTAGCGCAAGGCCCAGGATCACAGACCCGGCCCCAGGGGTGGGCACGGCTCCCGCCTCGCCCCGCGTCAGCAGCGCTGCAGGCCGCTGCGTGAGCACGTGGGGCCCGGGCCGGCGCAGCCCTGCTTCCCGGGACTTGCCCCTCGAGTGAGGCGGG